ATCTCTTTAAAAGTTAATATTAAATTAAATTCTTTGAGTTAACACTAAAAGACTTAAAGTATGTTTTGGAGAACTAGTTATATTTTAGCTATAACGTGTTAATTATTTTGAGACTTTTTAGAGTTCAGGTAGAAGTTATTAAATTAAAAGACTCAAATATTTGGAAATTAATTCTAATCATTCCTTTAATGAGTATTTTCTTCTTTTAATAAAAATACTTAGATAATATAGTCAAATCATTTGAATTCCTATCATGAGTTACTACATTAAAGTGTAACACACAACTTGGCAATGTGAATTACTCTTAGGCAAGTATATAAGGATCATTCCCTCCTGCAAACTTATTATTTATTTTATGCATGCCATATGAGAATATAACAATGGAAATGAGAACACATGCATAACAGAGAATTATTTTCTTAGTTGTTTTTAGAACACTCAGAGTCACCAGCTTGTCTATTTATATGTCATTGTATACTTTATTCGAATAAATCTCTCTCCCAAATCATATAAATGATTCAAAGAAGAGAGAAATTTAAAGAAGGATATATGATAACAAATAAGATAAAGAGTAAAAAGAAACAAGCAGAATACTTATATATGGGTAATCCTCATGTGATACATTGAGATTATACGTATGAACTGGATCAGATTGAAGTACCTCAAAACACAACATCCATGAAGAGAATCCATACATAAGGCACTTGTAATCAGTACCTCAAAACGCAACATCCATGAAGAGAATCCCTACATAAGGCACTTGTAATAAAAAAACCAAAAAGAAAATTTTTGTTCTGGAGTCAAGAGTTCTCAGAGGAACACATCCCTCTATTTAATTACATTATGAGGGATACCCCAAAATACTATCGAGAAAAGAGTTTTACCATACCTATATAATCCATGAACGTCATAACCAATATGTTTAAGAACCCATATTCTAACACTTATAATTCATGCCAAAAGAATCACCCTAACGTTAACTAGAAGAATAATATTAAAGGTGTAGGGACTGAACGGCAGGGGAATAACTTATTTAACCTGATACACAATTGAAATAATTAGGTAGTGACAATGCTAAATGAACTTGCCGACTTTGATTCAACTCAAATACTCAATTTAAAGAGAGGAAGTTGTTCTTAGAAGAGATTGTGATGCAAATGTAGAATTAGATGCAGATTCAAGCTGCAACGATTAAGAACATTTAAAACCACCTAACAATGTATCAAATTCATTAAGTAACAACCTCAGGGAACCCTACCTGGTTGTACTAAAGTGAACCCCCAAGGATAAAGGGAATGTCCAACTTGGTCT